CGTTTGTGTCTCACTGGTGGGGAGAGCCGTAGGAAGGGCAGGAGTAGCAGTGCAGGAAGTCACCCGCTGTCGGGGTTAGAGGCACATAGGGCACAATACAAGCTTTGAGGTCGAAATGACATTTTTATGTATAATCCGATGAACTGAAAAAGTGATCTGCTAATCACCAAAATTTAAACAGATACTGTACTGTGTTTTGACATATTTAATAACAAAAATTGCTACAGTTAGCTGTTTTGAAGGTCATTTTCTTTTGACATCTGTCAAATTACGCAATCTTGAATATTGGTACAAAGCATAATGCTGTCAAACTTAAATAGCAATATTCCAGAATGTGGAGTGGTGTGTTGTTTTTTAAGGTAAATGGGCCCCATTTACATTAGTTCTTTGATGTCAAATTCTTTGCTGCACATCAGAGAACAGTTGCTTCTTCCCTGGAGCAAGTTTTCTTTCTTCTCCTTCCCCCACCCTTTGATTTTTTTTTTTCCCTTCTTTTCCCTTTTTTTTTTTTTTAAGTTTGCGTACACTTTTATCTAACTAATTATGGAGGATCAGCTTATGCATGGCCATCATTTAGCTAGTTGCAGGCATTTTTCAAAATGTTTATTTCATAGCTAGTACCCTAAACAAATTTCTTAAATCTGCTTTTCTCTTAGTGAATACCCGTGTGTGTGTGTCTATATAACCCTCTAGTTTGTGAGAGTTACGTTTGTGGGAGTTTTGTTGTTTATTTATGTATGGGGGAGATTGAAATCAAATTGAAACACTCCTGAATCAGTCACAAAACTGTACTTCATATATAGCTGAGCAGGATTTCACTAGGCATCCTTAACTCTTACGGACCTGCATTTGGGTTGCAGGAATTTGTTTTCCTACTAATTTTGTAGCATAAATGAAATCTAACTTTCCATCTGGAAATCACCATTCCGAAGCTGGAATATATAGAATCATTTAGGTTGGAAAAGACCTTAAAGAGTCCAGTCGTCAACCTAACACTGCCAAGTCCACCACTAAACCATGTCCCTCTGCACAGATTAGTACTGCTCCAGAAAATTCTTAACAGCTGCATTTTTGATAAATGTTTAAGACGTCCTAAATGCCTTCATGGATGTTGGTGGAGGATGAAGTTGTCCATGGGCCTGCCAACCCCACAGTGCAACTAGAGCTACTGTCGACACTGGAGGGCATGCGTTCCATCGAGTAGAACTAGAAGTCCCCTCTAATACATCTTATACCTTAAAAATAGCACATAAAAACTGTGTAATTAGGGTAGGACATGGTATGCTTTTGTGGTGTGGTTCCTTCATAGATCCTCTGCTCTTTTCTTCTTAGTAATGCTCTTCTGCTTCATGAAAGGAAAAGATGGAAATCAGGCGGTGTTAGAACAGCATCCATTAATTCAGACACCACATCTATGGTGCTAATACTGTTTTTAATTTTTAGGTGAAATGCTTTGTTGAAGTCGGTGCAGTTTTGCTCAGCAACCACAATATGATGCTTTAAGGATTGTTATAGAATTATACTTGGGTTTTAAAACTATTTAACTGTAAGAAGGACATAATCTTTTTCATGCAAAAGTCCTCACTGTAATATAAAATAACTGCATGTAAAATTGTCATAATCAGATAATTTTAGCTAAAATATGTATTAACTGTGTGAAACTGAACAGAAGTTAATTTTTGATTCAGTGGGATTCCTCTATGCCTTATCCAATTTAAACCTTTTTATTACAAAAATGGATATTGCAATTGACGTTTCTGACAAGTTTTGCCAAATGTGAATTTCAACAGCTAACTCACGCACACGGAAAACTAGTTTGAGACCATTAACTCTATTTGCAGTGCTGCCCATTGCTATAAAAAGAGTTAGGCTTTAATGAATACTGGCTGACCTTCCAAATGTTCACCTTCCAGTTGGATTCGTATTCATTATGGTTCTGAAATAGCATGTAACCTGAAAGCAAGGGAATGCCCTTAAAATAATACAGAAGCAGCTTGTGCTTCACACAACGCACGAGCCCAGCAGCCTCTTAGAAAAGAGTGAGCCCAGGAAACGGCTGCTTGTGTACACCACCCCTCTTTTAACCCCGTTTGTCCAGATAAACGCAATATAAATCCTCCCCAATGCCCACTGCACACCGCTATGCGGGCTGACTTTGCTGTAAGTCGTTCCTTATAAAAAGTGATGGCAAAAAGGCACTTTTTTGTGTGTAGCAGTGCTGTATGTGCCCCGGGGGAGTAGGTTTATGCCTCCCTAAGCTGCAAAGGAACAGCCTGTAGTCAAGAGGTATTAACTTAGTTTAGTCGCAGGTTTTAAAAAGGGAAGAGTTTTATATTTCTGCAGTAAAAGAGGATGGAACAGAGTGTTCTTGTGCATCACTATGCATTAGATCTTTTCAGCTGCCCGGTGTGATGTAACTTGTAGAACTGCCTTCTGCAGAGCTTCGCTGGTGCTGCCTGCGTGGCTTGTGACGCTGCGTGACCCGCACGGTGTCACGAGCTCGAGAGAAGCTGAAGTCAGCAGGCGTCCAGGGCTCTGTGCTTGGGGTCTGGGCAGCCAGCTTAGAGCCGATCTCCGCGCGGGTGCCCTCTCCAGTGGAAGTTGGGGTGACAGTACTCTGAAATTCAGACTGCTCAAATAAGGGTGTTCGGGACTGCAGCTAATCTGGTTTCTTGGTGACTAGGAGACAGCTTATAAATATTTTGCTAATTGGAATTTGTTAAAGCCATTATAAAATATAATATTGTAATTGCCTTTAAATAAACTGGTAAGATGTACCTTTTTTGCCTTCACTTAGGAATAAAACTCTGAAGTTCAGCATATCTTTCTTTTGGATCACCTCTGTCATGTCTATCAGAGGTCATCCCGGTTCTATCAGTGTGAACAAACATGTTCTCATTTGTTTATGAAAGTTATGGGTGTTTTTTTATTATTTATTGGGATTTCTTCTATGGGTTCAGGAGGTTATAAAGCTGCTTCTATGAAAGATGAGGACTTTTACCCCAGGCAAGTTGAGTGAGAGCAGCTGTAACGTGATCTTCTTCGCGGTGCTTTGCTGACTTGTATCTCTCCCTTGCTGGGAGTAACAGTAATGTACACCATTACTACAATTTAATTGTTAATTTTTTCCCTAAAGATAAACTGACAGTTTCAGTCACTTCATGATGTGCAGAGGTAGTAAAACATAACCTGAAACTTGATGACAGCACGGTGGAAGGAGTGTTAACATGGGTGAGCCTGAGTACCAGGAGCGGGGTAGCGTGCCCAGACGGCACTACGTGGGAGTTACTGCCCCGTCTGTCTTCACGCAGCCCCACGAGTGCCCTGACGGGGTTGGTGACACACTTCAAATGACCAGTGTAGAAACAGGGGAACTGAATTTCTCTGGTGCTTCAGCTTTCCTGTATATGCTCTGTTAAACCTGTATGTAGTGCCGTTATCTCTGTTTATAACAAAAACCAACCCAAACGTGTTCTTAAAAATGATGCTCATATTTGATAATTGGTTTTGATTGTTTTAGTAGATTTCTTAGTACGAAGAAACATTAAATAGAACAACTTCTACATGGTTCATAATTTTGGAATTTGAAGGGATTCAAGATCTTGAATTGCAGTATCATATAAACTGTAAGATTATTTTAAACTGGTGGTAATATACTTACATTAAGCTGCACCATACCTAACTGCCTGGATTGTACGAGATGATTCCAGCCCTATCATGCTTGGCAGTGATTCACAAACACTGTCTGCCACTTTAAGCTCCTAAATTTATAGTCCAGTAAAATCAATAAGACTATTTGCTTGACTGAAATCCCTGGTGTTTGCAGAACTGAAGGTTCAGTCTTGCAACTGGATCCACGCAGGGTTCAGAGGCTCCGGGGGGGCCCGGAGGGTTCTGCAGTCCCCCAGCCCAGGCGCTGGCACAGAGGCAGCTGAAGGAGCGTGTTTGTGCGCGGGATGCTGTGCCGTAAAACTAAGGACGACAGATCAAAGATTTGAACACGGGGTCAGAAAGATTTTGAAAACTTAATCAGCTTAAATTTGCTTCAGAACTCAGCTTTGTAATATTCTGTCCCCCTAAGAAAATATTTTTCTTAGACACCTGTCCTCAAATTTTAGAGCCAGGAGCACAGGCACACTTAGCAGTTCCTTGGAGCGCAGCGTTTTCAGGCCGGTCTATCCGTGTGACGGCGTGGCACTCGGCAACCAAAGTACAAGCCAGAGTTGTGTCCTGAAATTTAAGTGGAATTATTTTTGAATTACTGTTATTATTGAATTATTTCTGAAGTTAAATTATTTGAGGAAAAAACCTTAAGAGCTATTTATCCCCAGATTTATAGAAAATATTTGCTTACTGGATTCCACTGTGACAAAGCAGCCTTGTTTTCAGTTTGGTTTATTCTTTATCTTTGAATTGGGGGAAAAAATGCTAGGAGAAGGAAAGACCGGTATGTCTAAGAGCTTCCCAGTTGGTTCAGCTGCACGACGGGGTCAGTTTTCAGCAAAGTCGCTGCCTTTAGATAGGAAGGGCCGTGCGGTGGGACAAAAGGCAATTGCAGACACTGAACTGAAGCGCCAAGTCGTGCCTTCCGTGTCCCGCCGTGCCCTTGCAGCCCGAGTCTGGGACTTGCTCCTTTTCCTTTTCCTTCCGTTCAGAAACGAAGTCACCCTGATAAACTTGGGGGTGTGTTGCCTCCCTGCCACACACACACACTTGCCCTCTTTTCTTTTTTTTTAAATCCGCCTGTCTTTATATTTTTCTAATAATTGGCAGCAGAGGTACAATTTCTCCCCTCTTCTAAGTGATGAATACTTGGCCTGAGATCAAAGGCAAGCCCTTGCGGTTTTTTGGCTGCCACAGAAGGGCGTTGAAGCTGGCGCGGGGCCCAGCCGCGCCGCGATAGGCATGTGGATGCGGTGCCAAGCGGAGGGGTCGGTGGCAAAGTGTCTGTACACGTTCTTCATCTGAGCTCATCTGGTTGCCTTTTGTGTGTGTTTCAGGCAAACAACCGGCTGAAGCAGGCTGAGAAGGAGTACAGCCAGAAGATGGCTAAGTCCTCGCAGGTAGGTAGCGAGAAGGCAGGAACCTGAGGGGAATCCATCTGATTTGGGTACTGGATGAAAGCGTAATTCCTTCTGCTCTTAAGCGTAGGCCTTGACGGTCGAGAGAAGCCATTTCCCAAATCAAATGCCCTGTGCCTTTCTTGCAGCTTTTAACCTTTCAAAAACCACAGAGCGTTAAGCACCCAAAGACATGGGTGGGGTGTTTTGAGTTTTAAATTTCATCTTTTTCATCTACTTTTTCATCTTCTGTGGACCCGAGAGGACCGAGCCCTCTGTCAGTGAGTGGGAAGGGAAGGCGAGGTGCCCCCTCAACCAGCACGTCCCGTCACATCAGGAGCAGTTGCACGACCAGGACTTGCATGTCGTGTCACAAGGTGGTGTTTGCCCGCACAGCTGATGGCAGGGTGGGATTCCCGACTGCCATCTTGACGTTTCCCATTGCTCCTAGCCACCTGAGCGTTTCTTCACAAAATAACACTCAGCAGAATGACAGCGTCCTGAAAGCAAACTGGTTTTGACGAGTTTTTGCTCTTCAGAGTAATCTTTTGAACTAGGGAGATGAAAATGTATGTTGAATTTACATATATGCTTAAAGATGATGACAGGTTGGTTTTTAAATATTTCAGCTTTCAGTTTGATTGACAGGTAGGACTGAAGTGTGAAAAATGATGGAGATGCAACCAGAAGTTAAGCTTTTAATAATCAGAAAATTGCCACGAGGATTTATTTGGAGGTGTCATTCTTCTCATTCCTCCCAACCACAGCAGGCTGCCTGCCTTTTACTTGCAAAGTGTGTTTTCAGCAATAGTAATAATAGTCTAATAATGCTCTTTTAAAAATCAATAAAACCACTACAAAGAATGGTTTAAAAGCCTCTGAACTAGGCAAAGGTGATCAGTGACACAACGACATGAAATTGCAGACTTCATTACAAGTGCTTGAAAATATTCCTAAGCTCCCAATTTTAGCTTTTCAGCTACCTTTGAGCCTCCTCGTCTGTAAAACTTGGCCATAATCTTGGCTTTAATTCAGAAGTTTCATTGGACTATCACATTTTTTTACATCCCATTTTTTGAGACTGTATTTATCAGAATCATTGTTAACTATATTTTTACATTATATTTCTCAAACCTAATGTGTATTTTCTGCACATTTATTTGCATACAAAGGGGTTGTGGGGTCTCCATCCTTGGAGATCCTCAAAACCCGACTGGACGTGATCCTGAACAACCACCTCTGGGTGATCCTGCTTTGAGCTGGTCCCTCCCACTCTCACCAGTGCCACGATTCTGAGTTGAATCAGGGACAATGCTTTCCTAAACACCTTTTTAGTAATTTGTTGAGAGCCTGATCTATAAAGAAAGGAAGGAACAACAACAAAACCCCTATTTTTATTATCTTGCCATCTGAACCTGAATAGCAGAAAATTGGTAAAGCTGAAAAAGTAACATCTATTGCATGCCAGACCTTACGGCAGAAAATCCCTTTCCTTGCTAACTCTGTTTTACCTTTTGTCCTTGTCATTTTTATGCTAATGTCATGCCTAGTGAGTGTAATCAAAAGTCAGCTTCTTTATGCCGGACATAGTTTACCATCAATACAAAAATAGGGTTTGATCCATTCATAAAAATGGATGGAATAATTTAAGCATTTCCGAATTTTCAAGCAAGGGGTGAGGGAAATTGCTTTAAGAGTGGGAACGCCTAGGTAGTGTAGCGCAAGGTAACCACTGTTTAACCTAAATGTCATAACAAGTTTGGTCAGACTGAAATGTATTGGCCTCTAGAATAGTCTCAGAATGGAAGGGTTTGGAAACTCGTTTTTGTAAGGCAGGCATTGCTGTAGCTAATACACTCTTCTCTTTACCGGGGAGTGATGGACCCAGTGACCAGAACTGGCATTCCTCTGCGCGTTCTGTGGCAGACACAGCACATACGTCGTACGTCAGGGCTATTTGGCACAATAAAGGACTTTCGCCCTGATGTCTGAATTTCTTTACTTTTGTGGGTTTGAATCAAATCCCTAAAGTTACTTGAACATAGTTTTTTTGTAGCTCAGTATTAATAATAGGTCAATTGCAACTTTTCTTGTGGTCATGTTGCTGACAACATCTGTCTAATCTTACTCTCTGTGGCCTCTTGGAACGTTCACTTTTAACACCCACACAGAGAAGATATTTCAAGAAATTTCCTCTGAAGTTTATACAAAGTAAACAGATTTTTTTTTCCTCTGAGAAGTACTGCACAAAGCAGATCTTTCTCCATACCTTGCATGCATTACAGAACGCCTATGTTAGTCCAGGATCTTAACCCAGGAAAAGATTTAAATCCTGCTTTCCTGTTGTATTAAAGGGTTCATTATTTTTGTTTTCTTTTTAAAAAGTGACAAAATGGAACATATACCAAGTGGTATAGGTTTGCATGGCTTCAAGTTGTTATCTTAATAATTTATGTGAGCCATCACTTTCTCCTGCTTTCTTACTGCACGTGTAACACACCTAGCAAAGCCAAACTTGTGCAACTTGAGTGTCATGTCCATGATGATCTAAATTGCAAAGCCAGTGACACTGCTTAATTCTGCCTGGAGAGTTACACCTATCCAGGCAATCTTTACACTTGGCCCACTGGTCTCGTTGGGAGCAAATAGCCTTCCTCTTGATTGGTATATTATCTGTTTTAATACGCATTTGATTTTTGAAAAGAAATACAGAAATATCCATGTAGGCTTTACTCATGATCTTTGTTATTCTCTGAGGTTTTCAGGTAGTCAAACAGATAAATAAATTTACTGTACGGTTTTAATCAGTCCTTTTCCCCTTCCCTTGTGATTCTAGTACGTTCTGTTGTAGCATATTTCTTATGTTAGTCCTATCCTATTAGTAGTTCTAAAAAAACCCTTTTTTTCCTAAAAAACTGTGGCCATAGCTGTTTCTCTACCTATGAGGAGGCCTTGCAAACACACCAATCTGAGCACTCTGGTAGTCTCTCCCTGAATGGCCTGTGTGCTGAAGCGTTTTTAGAATTAGACTGTTTTAGGCTGCTACAGCAGCTTAACCTTAAGCTTGAATATATACATGGAAGTCAGTGACTCTCCCATATGTTTAAGTACTTTGCTGGGTGATGACTTACATGTCAGCATAAAATTCTGTAAATATGCCTGAAGGATCAGGTTCAGTTATGACTTTCCACAGTGATAAAAAGGGTGAAACAAGTACATTTCAACAAATCATGTAAAAGGTCTAGTTAAAGGGTCCTGGACACTGAATCAGGTCCCCACTGGATTGTGAAGCAGAATATGCTCCTTTCAGCGGCTTAGAAATGTCACAATCAAGTTTAAATTTCAATCCAGTGTGTGTACTTGGGTGGTTTTCGTCTCTCCAGCAGGAAGCTGTGAAGTGTCCTGCTAGAGAACGAACGCCACCGTCGCTGTGTAGATTTTCACTCCTGGTTTCGGTGCAGTGGAAGGCTGGAAGCATGCTCGATTTTGAAGATCACAGATGTGCTTTGTTCTCATGAGTAAATATTTTGGAATGTCATAGTGGAAAACCCTTCCAAATATTTTGTGTTCAGCAGTTTCTGCCATTCGCAGCCTTACTATATTCCTTTTTCTCTGCGTGGAATTTCATGCTTGCTAGCGTGTACTATGTTAATTTAAAATATTTAGCTTGCACAGCAGAGTTTGCCAATGCCATGCTTGTACTGAGCATCTAAACATGCAAAATACATGCCTTTTACTGAAGAGAGATATAGCATGCTGTTTTCTTTTTTAGATCATAGCTGAACTTAAGACAACCATTTCCTCTCTGACAGAGGAGAACAGCCGGCAGCAGCTTGCTGCGGAACAGCAGCTCCAGGAAGTTGTACGAAAGTTTGATGATATAAAGCAGCAGCTGATTACAGATAATGACAGAGCAATCCAGGTAATCTGGGGATTTTAGTCACTGATGCTACTGGCTGTTTGAGTGTAATTAAAAGTTCTGCAGTGGGCAGATGAATGCGGGTATCGTTCCTGTTCACACAGCGCTCGCTAATTCCATCGCTGGACCTAAGCTTTGATGTAGCTGATGACTCAGGCTCTCTTTCCTCTCGCTGATCGTAGATCTGCATAAAACGCTTGGGCTTGGTGAGCCTAATCCATCCATTTCAGTCAAATACTTGAAACTTGCCTGTGCTCTTTCTTTTAATATTGGCTCAAGTATTCTAACATACTTTCAGCACCTTTGCACAGCGCTTTCGGTACTTGGGAAATAAGGTGGAAATTAGGAGAGCTGAGCTGCACCACCTGAGAGCCAGCAGCATGGCACTGGTTTTCACTGGACAGTCCCAACTTTCATGTTTAAGGCTGCAGTGGAGGTACATTCTTAGGTTCCATTGAGAACTATACGCAAAATCTGCGCTAAATATGAATGGAAGAGGTATTGGTTATTTGTAACTTTTTTCCCATTAGATTTCTACGTATTTTGCACCAGAATTGCACTCTCTGGCCTTTTTCAAAGAAGCTTTAAGAGATTATGGGTTCTGGAGATTCAGAGTCTGTTCCTTGCTGCATTGACACCTTGATTCAAAGCAGCTGCAGAGAATCGCACCTGCAGATGCAAACAGAATTATTTTTCAGACGTTTTTCCTTTCAGAGCAGCAAAGAGCAATGGAAATTTTTTGAAGCTATATAATCTGTTAGGGCTGTCATTGAAAACACTTCATTAAAAGTTGTATGGGAGAAGGAAATTCCTTTTTTTTCTTCATAAAGTCATTTATTAGTACCAAACAAAGAATTGCGTTGTTAAATCTAGAAACTCATGAAAAAATGAACTCCTACAGTTTTTCTAACTTTTTGTGCTGAAAAGAAACCATGGGAGTTTTTACATGTTGAAACTGTCTGAGGTTCAATTATGGTACAGTTAATGTTGTCTTCTCTATTTGAATGATTTGCATAATGAAATTAGGTTGGCATTACTATCTCATCATGTGCAGAGTATTCTTTTTCCTTTCCTTCATAAATTGCGTAATGACTTCTTTTTTCTTTAAAGAAAATGTCTGCCTTTGTGTGTTTGTTGAGGAACAGAATTTTCTTTCAGATCATTCTTCAGTCTCTCCTGTCAAAGGTGTAACCATAAAAATGTTGGCTATAATCTATTATCCAAATTGAATCACCAGAAGTAGCTTTTATTATCACTAGGCTCTGCGAAGAGAGCATAGATAAATCTTGTTATTTTATGATACAGGTGGATTTTTGCCACTTAGGAACATGTACTGTTTGTAGTTCTCCACTTTTCCAGTGGCCATCCAGATGTACAGAAACCCTGTGACAGTGGAATAGTCTTCCATATAGTCAGAAATATGCTATAGTTCAAGTTATCATGCATGATACCTTCTTGAGTTATGTATTTGAAGAAGTGTTTTAGGCCATTTACCAGATTTTTTCTTAGCTTCTGGTGCAAATGTACTGCTCAATGTATGCATTCCCTTCAAGTTGTTGGGTGGAAATAATTTGGCTGTTGGTAACAACAGTTTTTGAACGCTAATGGTTATAGGTTGTATGAAATCCTTCTCCATGTAATTCTGTGTTCAGCTATTATAAACTTAATTTTGATGTTATTACCTCACAATGTAATGAAATATATAAAAACCACAGGGATTCTGCACAGGGTTCCTGAGCTGTGTCCCACAGAGGTTTTAGCGTTGGTTCTGCAAGTATGTTTTGTAAGGTTTGGTTGACTTGGGGAAGACATTGCGGGAGCTGTTATGCTTGGAGTTCTTGAACTTTGTTTAGTATCATTAATATTTTACTTTAAAAACATCTTCCCTTGAAACCACTGATTCAGTGGAGATCGACAGATACCCAAACAGAATATTCTTAGGAAGGCAAACTGCTGTGTGTACTTCCGGAATCAGGAAGAGGTGTTTTTAATATTCGATCACTTAGTATTTTTAAGAACCACACATACTTGTAGATTAGCATATGCACAAATACTTGGCTTTTTATTAGCCTGGGGCAAAAAATCCTGGTTTTGGTGAAAGCGGAATCCTAGATGTCCTGGAGATGGGGAACAACATCTAACCTAGGGCAAGCTGAGGACTTTGAGGGATGATTAAAGAAACATTCTAAAAACAAAGCAAATCTTAATATAGCATAAGCCTTTGAGAAGTCTTAATATGGTATAAGCTACTAAAAAGACTATCGTTAAAAAGACGGGCATTTGCTAAATATAACATTGGTTTAAACTAATATTGAAGAACAGATTGCAATTTCCTTTATATGGTATTGGGTGACTTCCTGTAAGACCTTCCAATTATTATTTCCTTTCAAAGGGAGAAATACATTTTTACAGAAACCAACTGGCTCTCAGATAAGTTTTGGATTTAGTCAGTAAAGTGATATCCAGATGTGGATGCCATAATACATGATTCTGATATTAATTCAAATTCCTGACTCTCTTTGCTAGTTAAAGATTTCTAAGTTTTTAGATACAATTGTGGAATAAGATCTCCTTAAACATTGGTGAAAAAGAATAAATTAAACTTTTAAGAACACTGCTTCTCTTGACAACCTAAAAACCCCATCAGAGCAATGCTTCTTGGCTTCAGATGGCCTCAGTTGGAGACAAATGCTGTGAGTAGTTGGCATTCTGTTACACCGTGCTTTGCCTGCCCTCAGGGCAAGTCCAACTTTGTGCCCTCAGACTCATAAAATCAGGATATAATTTTGGCTCATCACGTTCCTTTCTCGTGGCTTATAAGATAGCCAGTTTGGATGCTGTCAAGTTGCAGTGTCTAAAAGCAGAGGCCTAAGGAGCAGTGGTCTGACACGGTGTTGAACAGCTGAGTGGCTCCTGTCGCTGCCTCTTTGCTGCTGTTGAGTTTGAGTCTATCGGGATGACGACCGTGTTGGCATAGGGAGAGATCCCAAAAGCACAGCTCGCCCTTCAGCGCCGCGTCGGTATCTTTTCTTTGAACTTACCAGGGCTTGCGTCCTTTGGGGCAGGGTACAAGGACACTGCAATTGGCCTGGCACGGGGCGAATCCAGCAAAGCTCACCTGGTCTCCCTGCCATGCCTCTCCCGTAATGTGCTTACACTTCAAAGATCAGGAACCACTGGGTTAGACCATAGGATTACTGGAGAGCACAATTACATTAATGCCCTGCAGATGCTTGGAAAAGCTGCTTAAATTGCTATGTCTGTTACCCAATTTGTGATGCTTTAGACTGGGATTTCGGAAGGCACCCTCCAGTACGGGTTTGGGTGCTGAACTCTTGAGAACGCCTATGCAGGAGCTGTGTTGGTCGTTCACGTGTAGTGTAAACTTATTAAGCCTAAATTTAAACTAGCTTTCTTGCGTCCCGATAGCAATCTAGCCACAACAACCCGGAGCTCAGTACAGTCAAACGGTCAGAGCGTTCACCTAACTGCTGCTGCTTTTGGCAGTGCTTACTGCCTGGACTCAGCACCAGCATGAGGGTGATTGCATTGTAGAGATACCTGGAGGTTATTTATGAAATCCCAGCCTTTTTTCTTTTTTTTTTTTTAATTAAATCCTTTTGGATCCTGGGATTAAAAGTGCAAAACAGTTCCTGGGATTGGAACTGGAAAACATGTTCAGAGCTTTTTAATGTAGAAGTTGGTGGCCAAGTGGGGACTCCACATCAAAAAGCAGATTCTGGAAAGAAATGGGTGATGGATAGCACACAGTGACAAACCCACAACAGAAAAGGGAGAAAATGATGCTTTTTTTGCCAGAGGAACCACATTGGTTGTTTGGCTCATATTACAGATTCTAGGATTCTGTTATATCCCCTGAATTAACACCAAAATTTCATTAGCAAAACATGGTTTGAAGATGACATATTTCAACACTTTGTGTGTCAGCCAGCTCATGATCAGATTAATTCCATTAAAAAATAAGACTTAAAAGATTTCTAGGAAAGAATGTCATATAATAATGTTCCCCTTCATGTGAAAAAAATTTTTCACATGAAAAAAACAGTTATTTTTCTTTGTTATGTTTAAAAATGTTGAGAGAGGGAAAAAAAATCAAAAGTGTATTTTATAGGCGTATCAGAACAAAGGATAAAACTTAGTTTTAAATTGTCTGGACTTATGTGGGCATTGAGTATTCTCAATCTCATCATATATTTGTTAGATGCTGTCGTATCTTGGGGCGAGAGGGTAATCTCCTCTATGCGAAGGTGGGACTGAGGTTTTTATCAACACATGAAATTTCTCAGTGCAACTATAACACAACACTTACTCTGCTGTAGTTATGCTTGACTCAGTCCTTGTGTGGGCACTCTGTTTCCTTTATTCAGGAATACTGCTTCCATGGAGGGCGGGTTGGCACTGATATCACTCTATTTTGGCATGTCATGCCAGCACATCACCCCCAAAAGAGCGTGCGTGGTGCCTTGGTGCTTGGAGCACCCGTCTGCCGCCCAGCCCACCTCTCCCATCTGCCTGTGTCCCGCTGCGCCAGCGCAACGTGCCTGGCCGCCTGGCCTTGGGGTTTTTGCATAATCCCCCCTCCCTTTCATGTTTGGTTCCTGCTAAAAGTAAAACAAATTATTTTAAACCTTGGGATGTTCTACAGCATTCAGAACATTTCTTTAAGGGTACCTGATATCTTTGTTTCCAGAAAGTAGTTGTCAAAATATACTGCTGGTGTTTACAAACGTCTCTAAAATGCAGTGTGTCAGAAACAGTGTGTTTTTAAAAATGTCATGAACAAGCTAATTTTGTGTTTAGTTATATTTCGTTGTCAGCCATGTTTATTAGTAAATTCCACTTGTAATTACAAATATTATTTTGTATTAAAAGAAAAAGCACATCAGAGCTGTGGGAACATTAAATGAGTGTCTTTAGTCCTGCAGAACTATTTAGTCTACTGTCCTCGAAATACCTTTTGGAATACCACCATTGTACTCTGC